CCAGCAATTCCACTACTGGGAATATACCATAAAGAGACCATAACCATCATCCAAGCAGATATATGCACACCCATATTTATTGAGGCTTTGTTCACAATAGCAAGGAGCTGGAAACAACCCAAGTGCCCATCAACAAACAAATGGATAGAGAAGCTGTGGTATATTCACACAATGGAATACTACTCTGCATTGAAAAACAAGGAACTCATGAAATATTATTCAAAATGGATGACCCTGGAGGACATTATGCTGAGTGAAATATTAGTCACAAAAGGACAAACACTGCATAGTGCCAATGTTGTAAAGTGGTATATTATAGGGTATTATGATTCTCATCAGAGTCTGGAATGAAGGTCCCATAGTGGGGTGTGCCTGGGGTGAGAGGCAGGGGGGAGGGTGATTGTATACTAAAGAAGGAATTTTTCTTTTACTTTTCAAAGAGATGAGTGAACTGGGTCAGGGGGTGGAGGGGAGAAAAGTGCAACAATGCATGAATGGAAATCCAAAATATCTGTAAATGTTCATTAAAATTAATAAAAAAATAACCTAACAGTAGCCATCACATTAACTGATATCTTTCTTCCTTTTGGGAAATCATACTAAAGGTAGAGTGGAACAATTTAAAACAACTTAATAGAAGCTTTTTGGTTTTATTGTTTTGTTTTACTCATTTGTGAAATGGGAGACAAGAGCAAATTATAGTAAAGAACCATGAGATCTGAACTCACTTCTGAACAAGGATGGTAGTGCTCTCTGAGACTGTGATGGTGACAGAAAATGGGCAGTGCATTGAGGCTGAGGATGTGAATATCCATTTAGAGAGCCCTGGGCCTTTACTTAGTCCAGCCCAGAGTGACACGTGTTGAGGGAGTCTAGTCTTCAATGAGGTGGACATGTGTGCCAGTCCTTTCTTCCCCCATGTGTCCCCTAAGCTTTCTTTCAGGCTCTTCCCAGAAGCTACCAGGAAGCAAGTGGGGCCCCTCTGGACCTTGTAACAATGAGACAGAGGGAATGGCCCTGACTTCTTGTAGCAAAGTAAACAGTCTAAAGAGCTAGGAAAAAATTAAGTCTTAGTTGGCTGCCAGAACTCCAAAAGGTTAAATTATGCAGCACGGTGTATCATTAGAACTTCTTACGTGGCTTTTCAACCCAGTTGCTTTCTATTTTCTTCTGTATTATAAAGGCTGATAAAGTGTTCTTTGAGTTACCTATGTTTAGTTACTGGCACCTCCTCATCCTGGTTTGTATTGTGAATTCAATAAATTTCGTTAAGGCCTTTGCTGTTTCTTACATATAATCAAGAGAATATGTGCAGAAAGGACTCCCCTGCCCTTCTCTGGGGAGCTGGTTCCATCAAGAATCTGCTTTCATTTCATAGACATTAGCTTTCCACTTAAGGAAAATCAAGTGTATGTACTTCCTGTATTCCAGGGAAATGTTTCTGGTGCCTCCAAAGGCTGACTTTGTTCCTTGCTTCTGCCACCTCCCACAGACCTACCCCAAACTGCTGTCCCCAGAAAGGAATCAGAAGGAAAATGACCAACGTTCCTATTATGACCTTTCACGTGAATGTTTGGGCTAAAGAGTAAAAAAGCACAAAAGGTGAATGGGGAAGTAGAGAACTCCAGTGCACAGATAATCAACTATGAAAGTCGGCTTAGAATGGGTAATTGTAGTTATTTCCACTGAAAATATTATGGAAAACAGATGTTTTGTTACTCAGAAGTGTCATGATTATTGCAGAGACAAACCAATTGATGAGCCCAGTGGACTCTGTTTGATATACATGGTTTTCTCATGACAGACTGACCTTGTGGCCCTGAGTATTGTACATGTCCAACTCCATGAGCAGCTGAGTGCCTGTTTACCATGCCAGGGCTGTTAATAGTGATGTCACCTAGCTGTTCATCTTCATTTCTGGTAGGTGTCAGCTCTGGCTTAACCTCAGACCTAGAGAGGAGTTTCACATTCCAGTTACCTTCTGAGTCATTTCGGTCCCTCCTAGATTTGAGCATTATCTTTTCATTGCTTTATCAGCCTTGTGCCAATTTAAGCTTTGGCACGTACTGTTTACATCTATCTGTGTGTTCTTGAGGTGTGGATCCCTTCTTTTTAAAAAAAAACAAAACAACTGCAAGTCATTTCAGGGGAAGCAAATCATGTAGCTACAGTTGAAAACATCATCCATTGGATTCATCATCCAGCATTAGTTCCATCCAGGTTTGTCTGGAGAACATAAGCCCCTGGTACAGGATGTGTCTGCCAGGCCATGGTCTGCACCACAGTCGTGATCTTGGGACCCCTTCACTGACTTTCCACCTGAGCAGAGGAGTGATGGTTGAGAGACCATTTCTATTGGAGTGGAGAATAAGCTGCAGACAAAAGGGCAGCCTGAGTCCACCACATCTCACCTCTGCCCACCTGCTGGCTTGGCTGCATCTGCAGAGCCTCCAGGCAGAGGTCTGTTTTCATGCCGTGTGAGTCTCTCAATTGCTTATCCAGTACTGCCCACCACCCCATACCTGGTTTCACATTTCACATGTCATTCAGGAGAACCAACACACAGCAACTCTGTAAACCAAGGGCTTGTAAATGGTACCTGAGTCTTGGGAGACTGAAGTGTTATCCAGTTTATCTGTGCAGAGCCAGACACCTTGGTGCACTAAGAGCATGCACTCCCTGATCAGTGACATGGTAACGGTGGTCCTTGGTTTGTAGACTGGAAGAATACTGCCTGCTAGTGTGTGCTGTGAAATATTGGCTCAGTGGATGAGAAAGGAGTTGTACTGCCAACCCGGAGACAGTTCGCATCCAGAGAAAGATGGCAGCTACTTCAGGCATATTTACACCAGCTCAAAGCTGTAAGTCAGTTCTGACTCAATGGCAATGGGATTTTTTTGGTTCTATCCACTTTGGTAGTCACTTGCCATATAAGATACTAAGCATTAGGGAGTCCTGGTGGCCTAGTGGCAAGAAGCTGCACTGCAATCCCAGAGGAGCGTGGTTCGAATCCACCAGATGCTCTGCAGGAGAAGGAGGGACAATCTCCTCCTGTACCAGTCAGATCAGATTGACGGTACACGCGCGCGCGCGCGCACACACACACACACACAATTTAAAAAATTTTTTTTAAATGATACTTAGAATGTGGCAAGTATGACAGTAGGAAATTGTCATTATTTTTTTTTCTTAACTTGTTATATGCCATAGAATTTGATCCGACTGGCACAGGAGGAGAATGCCCCTCCTTCTCCAGTGGAGCATCTGGTAGACATTTTCTTTTAATTAATAGAAATACATGTGGCAGGAAGCAACTATATTGGAGACTTACTTCACTCTGATATGAAGACTGGAGGAGGAAGAAGCAGCAAAGGGAGGGACTAGAGAGGACTTGAGTCTGAGCTACATGTGCGATGAACACAAGTAGAGACAGTGGAGGGGTGGGGGTCCCCATCGTGTGGGCAGGTTTGTTGCAATGTGTTGATTATCTTAGACTCCTAGTAGGAAATAACTGCACGTGCGAGCCAGGGCGAGTTAAGAAAAGTTTATTTACTGAGGACTTGTTATAAAGGAGGGACTAACCACAGGGTTCCTACATATAATGCAAAGCCTGAGAGGAGCAGTAGCAGAGCCATGGGTGTTCCTGGGGCTGAGGGCTGAGGGACAGAGCTTGAAGAAGTCTTGCTTGGAAGGAGTTGAGAGCATTTCCAAAGAGGAAGAGAGAAATAAGTATATCAATCTCACTGTTCCTACTTTCTCAACCTTTATAGTTCCAATTGCTCAAACTCAAAGGGCAGCCAGATGTTAGAGTGAGTGCCCAGTTAATGTGGAGAGTGGAGCTCTAGAGGAGATGGAGAAGAAGCAATGATGCCAAGTGCACACACACCTATATTTGCAGTTCAACAAACAACTTGGGGCTTGTCAGTTGTGGGTGAACATGAGCCCCTTGAAACGACTACAGGTCTGATTCTGTTTCTACCAGTGTCTCTGCTGTCCCTCTCAAACTAGTCTCCAAACTGTGTCTTTCAAACCAGTTGCATGATGACCTTTTGTAAGGACTGACACCTCCTGAAAACATGCCCAAAGTTTGTGAGACAAAATTTCACAACATCCTTGCCTCCAGGCAGCACCCTGGCTTCACTTTCTCCAAGACTTATTTATTTTCTTGGCAGTCCATAGTACCCGTCTCTAGTACCACAGCTCAGTACTCTTCTCCAACACCACAACTTAAAGGCATTGATTCTTCTTCTATCATCCTTGACTGCAGATTTACCCAATGTCATTTGATTTCTTGGCTGCTGCTACCAGGAGTTTTGATGGTGAATCCAAGTATAAGAAAATCCTTGACAACTTCTGTCTTTTCTCCATTTATTATTATATTACCCATTTGTCCAGTTGTGAAGGGCTTTGTTTTTTTGATGTTGATAAGTAATATTAAAGGTTGTAGTCTTTGATCATCTGTAAGTGCTTTAAGTCTTCTTCACTTTCTACAAGCAAGGTTATGTCATGTGCATAATGCAGGTTGTTGATGAGTCTTCCTCCAATCTTGATGCCACAGTCTTCTACCCATAGTCCAGCTTCTGGAATGATTTACTCAGCATGCAGATTGAATAGGTGTGGAGAAAGGATCCAACCCCAACACAGGCCTTTCCTGATTTTAAATCAAGGTTCCCTTCTTCTGTTTGGACAATAGCTTCTTGGTCTATGTATAGGTTTTGTATGAGCACTGTCTGGTGTTCTGGGATTCCATTCTTCTCAATATTATCCTTAATTTGTTATGAACCACACAGTCTTTGAATGGTCAGTAAACATGGTTATTTCCCTTAGGTTTTTGTAAACTTTCACATGTACATAGAGGTATCACTATGTTGTTTAAATCTTGCTAACTAGTGAGTTACTAACATGAAGTAATTTGAGACTTTTGTTTTAAGTTATTGAGGAGTTTCTTTTAATATTAGCTGGTTCCTTGAAAATCTGATACATAGTTTCATCCACCCCAGATTCATTGCTGAAGAGTCTGCAGCATCCGGTGCTAAGTGTGTGCTCACCAGCAGTCCCACCTGGATCATTGATCCTATTGATGGGACCTGCAACTTCGTGCACAGGTGAGCATAGTACGCATAATCTCCTTTATGTATGTCAGTGTTTAAAATGTAATTTTTCCAGAAGCAGCAGTAATAAGCGGTAATAAGCAAGCAAAGAGGAGTCCTGCTGGTGCAGTGATTAAGCACTAGAATGCTAATTGAACCATCAGCTGTTTTAAACCACTGGCAGCTCTGTGAGAGAAAAGACTTGATGACATGTTCCGATAAAGGTCACAATCGCAGGAATCAGCCCTGTGGGGAAGAAGAAGTCCACTCATCTGCACATGAACCTACAGCTTTGGTGATGTGGTCTGTGGGAATTTATGTGGCTAACCCAAAGACTGCGCCTCTCTGACGGTTCTAACCCACCAGCAACTCTGCAGGACAGAGAGGAGTAGTCTCCTCCAAAGCCATGGGCAGCCTTGGAAACCCAGTGATCTTCAACTGTGAATCAGCTCCCCCTTGGCAGCAATGAGTTGAGTTTGTTGAGTTAGTGAACATTTAGAGTCTCATTGAAATGATGATCAACATGAAGTGATCATATTTTTTGTACACTTATCAATAAGGTTTATTTTAGAAAAATGATCAAAAGTTTTTCATTTGTGAAGCGCTCAGCCTGTGTTTGAAAGAAAACCCTCCACATGTGTAAAAGCCATTGTTAATGTTTAAACTGTTAGTGGAGGGAGCTCTGGTGGCCTAGTGGCAAGGAATTGTACTGCTAACCTAAAGGCATGTGGTTTGAAAACACCACACACACAAACAAAAAACAACAACAAAAAGCCAGGAGAAAAATGGTTAGTCACTTCTCATGCAATTTACTACCTCTGAAAACCCACTAGAGAGTCAGTTAGCTATGGGTCCGTTCTGACTTGATGGTACAGACAAGAGTGCTTAAGAAATTCCACTGAAGAAACATGTAGAATCAGAAGGGGCCACAGGAAAGAGGAGTCCTATGGAAGGTGGAGCACAAGATGGGATGAGAACTCATCCAGCAGCAGCCTGGACTGGATCTGACTAGGCAGACCACTGGACGGAAAGCCACAGAAAGGAGGGAGGGGTGTGTAGGCCGAGGGGCTGCCCTGCAGCCTATGAGGATGCAGTGAAGAGCAGCTTCAGGAAGCAATGCAAAATGGAAGAGGGATGTCACCCTGAAAGCCACAGATGACCAAGATCCCAATGTCATTGCTGCTAATGGTTGCCACAGAATTGGATCTCAGACTTTAACATGGATAAGAATTATCAACAGAATAAGAAAATTATTAAACAACATCATCACGTCACACACAAGCAAAATTCTGCTGAAAAGATTTAAAAAGCAGTTGCTTTTTACTTTGACAAGTATTGCTAGTTTATGGAGCTCCTTATCCTGGTATTGTACTTCTTTATCCTTTCCGCAAATGGTATGTTTAGGTGGAAAGTGTGTATGTTACTTAAAGTGGCTGATTTTAAAACTTCACTCAGGCCTACAAAAGGCCCTTTCAAGGCAATGGAGTAGTGCCATCTGGTGACAGCAACTGTAATTTTAAACTATAATTTTTTTAAAATTCTTTTATTATTATTA